CCTTTTGGTTAATTAAAGCACGAATCAAAAACAACTCATAAAAAGTATGTATTTTGGCAACTCTTAATAGCTCATTCCTCGATTATCTATAGGTACAGAAATTTTAATTTTAGCAAGCAACTTTTTTTGGTTAGGATTTTGAATCAGAACAGTGGTGTGGAAATGTGCGAGGATTTCTATTGAGCTGCCTATTTGCTGTCATGGCCAAGTGCCTTCACATCAGGTGAACTGAGAAACACTGATGTTCCAAGAAAGCTTTCTGTCCGCTGTCTCTGCCAGATCATATAAAGTCTGAACAAAACAGCATGCAAATTCAGGGCAGGGTATCTGAACAGAAAGAAAAGTATATGATCTATACCGTGCCCATGTCATATTAAGAGAATCATTCACTACAGCTTGCTAAAAATGCAGTCAGGATAGTTATATTTGTCACAAGTGCAAAACTATGCAGACTTGGGTATCGTACCAGCACTTGAACTGTGTATGCATACGTTTCATGGAATGCAAGCACATATCCATCCCTCTGACTGAAATAATTCTATTCCTTCATCACCAAGAGCAAAATTATGTAAATGACATTATAGGCGGGGGAAGGGGGGAACACACAAATATCCTCCAAAAGTTTTAAAATAGTCTGTAAATTACTATGTCCCCAAGTATCACAGCCTCTGGATATATTTTTTTGAAATACTGCATGTCCCCTACAAAATATTGAACAAAAAACCATTGAGAGTTGAGATTCTGCTATGTATCAGGCCTGCAATTTCTCATATATAACGCACTGACTCGTGGTTGCCCTGAGAGCCAGACTAGATACAAACAGTCCTAAAGGATAAGCAAAAGGGAGGGAAAATAAAACCCAACCAAATAACTAAACATTTCAGGATACATGGGGCAAATATAATAAATATAGTAATAATAATAATAATATAATAATATAATAAATATAATAATAATATGGCAAAAAAAAGAATACCTTGCTTTGGAAGTATTTTTGCAGTGCTTTGATAGTGCCTGTTTGTGAATACTAATATCAATAATTTGAAATATCTTTTTGTAGAAAACAAATCAGGCAAGATAATACCAGTAGAAAAGTCAATGTCATTTGATCACTGCCATATTTTTAAAGCAGTGTCCAGATACTACTTAATCTCTACAATCTCTTCATTTGGTAGGTGACTTGTTATCGTCTTTTCATGGAAAAGGTTACAGGAACTCAAGATAAGGGATATATCTAAATGTTCAAAAGCACACGGTGAGTTTGTTCCAGAATTATCAAAAGGATTTCCTGTCCTTTTCTTACCCAATGTTGCTCTTCTCTTCCTCATAAAAGTTGATAGAACTACGTATATCATACTTATAAATAGATATATATAATACAGAGAGAAACAGAGCAAGATGCTGTAAATCAATAGGCACAAAAGAGGAAAAAACCTCTTATTAATATCAGAATAAATACAGCCTGCAGTATTTCAGTTATTAACTGTGAAGTAATAAGAAACTTCTGCACTAAAAATCAAAACAGAGCAAAACTGTGAAAGTGAAGTATGAAAATGCTAAGACTAAGGCGAGACACTGAAGGACTAACATTAAATAAGTAAATGCAACAGAGCTGCCTGCCTGATCACTTTAAAGCACCTCCCAGCAGACTGAAGTACAGTAGAGCTTCTGTGCAAGGGTTTGGAAATAAGAATTGATGGTAGAACAATTTCTTTACAACCCTTTGGAGACTGAAGAGCCAAAACAGGAGGGAAATGAGATCTAGGCCACTCGCGAGATAGACCAATTTAATGGAATGCACAAGACGGCCCAAAATTGAGCCCTAGATTAAATTCCAAGTTACCTTCCCCATCAAAAGAGGTCTGGAGAGGAAACAGAAATGAAGCAAGCTGTGCGTATCAAATGCAAAGTCTTTCAGTCAGCATCTGCACATGCTGCCAGTCTCTAGCAATAAAATCTGCAAACCTGATGTAAAGCATAAAAAAATGCACTTTAGCACATAATTCAGAACAGGCTTGGGTTTTCCATGAAAAATTAGAAGTGTCCTTTTACCGTGACTGCTTGATACCAAAATTTTGAGGCTAACTGTCTGAACTGCTGTTTGCATTCCACAGCAGTTCAGAGGTGTGTGTTTGCTGCAGTCCATCCTAAGCACTCCAAGTCATGTTGACAGGGATTCCCCATGATATGCTGAGCAATAAAACTGACCTTCAGGGGTGGCCACACAATCACAGAGTGAGAATTACAGCAGCTTCAAAAAGCACCATGTAATCAACTCTCCTAATGAGAACAAGAGTCACAGTGGTATTTTATCAAGAAAGATGTGAAGAGTTCATACCTTTACACCCCAAAGTTTTAGTGGGGCATGAAAATAAATGGCTAAATAAATTTAAAAGAAAGAAAAAAGAAAAAAAACAAAACACTCTAGCAAATAATGCTGATAAGTTTTCAAGACTCTATAATTGAAATAGACTGGTTCTCAAAGTTTTGTTCACATATTTTCAAGTTATCTGCCCTATGAACAAATATGAGCAATCTTTTAATATATAAAACGCAAGATTGCTTCAGAAAATACAGTAAACTCTAAGTGAAAATGGGGTTTCAGAAATGCCATGCATTGAGCACAGAGGCTTAATTACTTTAAAGCAAGTCTCTATACCTACACAAAACAGTATTGCTAATGACAGTGACAGAAAATGATAACTACTCTCGTTTCCACTTTGAGTCATTTTGCTGTGGTTAATAAATTATATCCATAACAGTGTTAATAAGTTATGGTACGGTGTCACTGCATCAGTTTGCGTTTATGATGAAGCACTTCATATGGCACTACCTATACCTGTGGAAGGAGAGAGCCCTTTTCTGCTCTCAGAAGAATCTCCTATGCTGGAACTTTGATGGATCCCCTAAGGAAACGCTGTCTCCTGACCTCTGCCTTTCTCTTACTTCTCATCTCTGCTGCAGGTGCATGCCATGGCAGGGCAATTCAAAAACTTTAATACCTTTAATAAAACACTGGCAATCTTAAATCATTGCCCTTTCCATAGGAACGATATACAAGGAGTTAGAGGTAAGGCAAATATGGGAAGTATTGAGATCAATTTACTCATGTGAAAAGGACACAGATCAACTCATCTTCCCTCAAGCTCCCGGAGGGAAACAGGAAGACTTAGACTGACTGATGGACTCCTGATCAACCACTTTAAAAGCTTGTTTTTCTAAAAGTTAAGAATAAATAAATGCACTTTAAGCTTAATAGGGTTTGGTTTTTAAAGAAAAAAGAAAAGCAGAAGCTATTTAAATTCTTCCCAATTGAACAGAAACCCAACTGTGGCAGCACTGGTGAACATAAGAGATGGCGAAAGTAATAAGCACACTTTTAACAATGGAAAGAAGCTCATGGCTTTAAGTATTTTCTTTTACAAATAAAGAAATACAAACCAGTAAACAAACAGTCCCAAATCAGAGTTCTGTAGTGTGGAGTTTTAGTCATCTCAAGCATTAACTTGAAGAGCTGCTATTAAGCAAGATGGTTTTTTGTCCATTAAAGTTATTACATAAAAATTCAGTATAGTTTGAAAGAAATTTTTTTAGAAGAATGTAGTTATTGAATTGTCTCCAGTACCATGATACTTTCTATAGTAAAGCATTTCTTTTAAAAGCTTTTTTTCTGCTTTATATATACATATATACAGAAACTCCTTTGTGAAACGCAATGTCCAAACAGAAATGAGATATTCCAGCTCTTAATAGAAATTATTTGCTTTCCATCAGTATCAAATAAAAAGTAGCACTATTAGATTAAAATGGAGAAAAATCCCAAATTTTCTGCAGCCTCCATAAGCCAGCAGTGCAAAAGCTCAAATGCTTTTACAGTAGGTACATAAAAGATAACATTGTAGACATATTACTGGAATGGTTTGCAACCAGTGAAGATAATTTTGATTATTTCCACTTCAAAACTTCCTATATTGGAGCCACATCACTGAAAGCAAACTAACTGTAGGGGGAAAAAAGTGATGGGAAACAAATCTGCTAATCTCTTCACAAAAATTAGACAGAAGAGGAGAGTAGTCTCCTGTAGATTAACTAAAGTCTTTCAGAGACAAAGACTTCAGTATTCTAAACAAGAGAAATAAAATCCCCATAAAAATACCTTCCCTTCCTTAATTTCTCTTTTTCCCTCCCTGCCACAAGTAGCATTATTTATTTGTATCCTGAATTCGTCACCGCTGCGCCATAATGAAATACATTTTAAAATTTAAAAGGTAAAAAAAATATCATGTTCCCACCATAGCATCATTGGACACCATACTGCATAGAAAAATGAGTCGTGCTTTTGCAGTAATTTGACAAGAGAAGAACAAAAAGAATGGCAAAAATAGAACAATACGACTAGGGCTTGAGGAACACATCGGTTCAATATTTAGCAATGCATAAATTGAGGTTTCATTTTTGTTTAGGTATATTTTGATTAGAACTAATAAATGACTGATTTTCCTTTGGTTCTTTGCAACAACAACATATCACCCAAAGAGCTTTATTCTTTATTCCCTTCTCATATAGCATGCCAAAGACTGTCTCAGTTTATGAATTAGCATTTAAAACTACTGTAGGTTATCTAACAAGCATTCAGATTCAATAGTACTTTTGACAGCAGTAAGTAAAGAGCCTTTTAACATCTTGAACACATGTGCTTGAAAAAAGTAGTTGCATCAAAGCAGTTCAAAGACTGCAGACAAAAACCAGTTAAAATCCAGTTTGCTGTGAGATGATTTTAGTGTGGTGTAAACAACCTTTCACGACTCCCCATGGGAAACGTAAGACTATGTTCAAAATGAATCAGGCATATTTATAAAGATCATGAAGTGGTCAAATGCATTTGCATTTTTGGCAGATCCACTCCACGGGTACTACTTGCTACAGTCTGTAGAAATCTCAAATCTCACATCAGCGTTGCCTATAGTGCTTTATTATTTATTACATGTTATGCTAAGTACCTGCGAAAGGGGACATTCCTTGGCCAATGAACTCTGGTTCATATCCTTCAGTAAGTCCTTCAGAGCATTTCTTACTGTTGTGTGAGACCATTGTTCAGGAGGCAAGTCTTCTAGTTTAGGGCAACTATTTGAAACACAGATTAGAAAAGGGATTATTACAAGATTGCATCCTGCTGCAGAACATTCCTTTAAGACAGACAGATTTCATTTTGCGCATCAAGCAGATGCATCTGGAGATTGCTCTCGGTCTCCTGATTGTTCCGATTAGTTAATTACTTTATACAACACATCTGCTGTATTGATGCATGAATTATACATCAGCTGCATGTGGCGACTATTTTTTCATGTTACTTCTACCTTCCTGCTCTGATGCGCTTGGTAAAACAATTTAAGGTGTAATGCTTTCTCACGACTGATCATGAAAAGCATTAATATATTAACCATTTTTTCTTTTTTGTTGCTGTGAAATTTAAGAACCTAGACAGCAACAATAAGTGTGAGCAAGTCATTCTTTTACAAAATGCACACAGATGGTACTGTTCATGATATGCAAAAATATTTTTCTCTTAAGTAAACTTTATGTAAAATGCCTTCTTGTAATGCATCATTTAATTGACTAAAATGCAATATAGTTTTAATGAGATATCCAAAGAAAATCTATGTATCAGAGCTATAAAAGTTTTCTGCAATAGTATACTGTAAGTTAAAGAAGAATTAGAATAACTAAAAAGGAATTTAGGCAAGCCTTTGTACTTTGAGCACAAAGCAGGGTGGGAATTAAATACAAGCAATATTAACAGTTAAGAGCAGGCAAGTAACAGTTCACGTCCCAGAACTGGTATATGACTTACCTGTGTAACTGGATTTTCAGTGTGACCACATGATACACGTCTTGCAGCATGTCTGCTACTGTAGCATCGGGGGCATCTGTCACATAGGAGAGTGGAACTGGATTCCACTTCCCAACCTGGATAAGCCCTGCAGGATTGTAATTTTCAGAGGGCACGGGGAGTGGGCAAGAAGGGCAGGAAAAATTGAAAGAAAGTGATTTACCTAATTCCTAGGGGCAAAAGAAATACCTGATTTTAACAAGATCACCACCTTTGTTTCTAACCTCTTAAATCTGGCAAAACAAAAGAATACCCCCTCCTCCAAAAACCCCCACCCACACACCACCAAGGAGAGGCCTTATCTGTATTATGAAATTATACAAATACATTACAGTAGAGATTTGTTAAATATGTATAGAAGTATATTTTCCTAATTCCTATGAATTCAATAGGACATGATATAATAGTTAGCATTCCTCTTAATAAATAAATGCAAGAATTGAGCACAAAAAAAAATTACTTTGCAGTCTATAAAACCATCAGGAACAAAATAAAAGAAACAGAGCTGGATATTCAGTCATAAATGCAAGTTGACTCTCAACAGTCCATCTGCTCAAATATGCTTTACACTTCCTTGTGGATCCTCAGTGGAGCAGATTATTAAGGTCAATAAGCATACTAATGATTCAGTTGAAGTCTTTTTTCTTCTTTAAAAAAAAAAGAAAAAAAAAGGAATTTACCTCCACATTCCCCATGAACAAAATGTGCACTAACTAAATAAAAACACATCAAGGAAAAAAAAATACAGACTCTGCAAGAAGTTTAAGAAGTAAAACCTGTATTGCATTCCTGAAAGAAGTCCTGCCCCTCCCCCAAGACCCCACAAACAAACACAATTCATTGTACAATTTCATAATCTTATTTACCTTTTGCTTGGGCAGCAGAGCTGTGAGAATATCCAAGAGATAGCAATGCCATTTCAATCAGCTGGTTGAAAAGCATATCCTTCCTCACCAACACAAATTCTGCATGCTCCTCCTTAGAATCATACTCAATGGCATTTTCATAATGTTCCACTACACAGAAAACTGGAAGCATACTTCCTATTAAAAAAAATCAAATTTAACATATTAAACTTTAGTTATAGTAGAGTAGGTGGGTCTATACAAAGTTATGTAAATAAAACCTGTACAAACAGGCAGAGGAAGCATCAAGAATCATCACAAATATTTGATCAACATATTCCCCGAGTCCTTTCCCCTCACCCTCCACAAAAAAGAGAAAGTTCTACAAAACATACATCTCCCTGAAAGGCAGAAATGCAAATATATCTCCCTTGATCAGATACAGGTTTAAAGAATTACCTTCTATAGAAATAGCAAGGTTGACTGAAGAGAAGTTGATTCTCTCTGTCCTGCCTGATTTGTTGTGAGTAGCAGGCAGAATGAGAACCTAAATACATACTGCAGATGTCTTCACTGTAAGCCATTTTAGTACCAGCCACATAATTTTGTTTGTTAACATTAAAACTTTCTTAGTCCTGCCAAAAATATTTAATTGCTTTCAATAACAGCAACAAATCACCTTGTGTGTTATATATTCACTCTGAAAAGAGTACACAAGGAAACAAGGCAAAAGTTAACACTAATTCGTGCATCATTCACTGAGTGCACTTCAGCACTACTTTCACTTGCATCTTTAAGGAACAAATCATAATTTCAGTGCCGCTTTAAGAAGTGTACCTGCAGTTCAGGCTTATTTTTTGTTGTTCTTGTTGTTTTAGTTGTCTCCTGCACTTTACATCCCACAACGCTATTTTGGCATGCCTGAAAGTTAATTACTAATTTCCAGTTTTGTAGCATCATATGGCAAACCCTTCCATACACTGCACAGAATATTAAGCAAATAACCTTTTTTCTTTCCTCTGGCCTTTTCTTAAAATTTATTTTATTTTTTTCATCCCTTTTGATTATAGAGAGAGAAGTAACAAGCGACCCAAGCTGTTTTAGGGACAAAGTCTCTCTCAGCAATCAGATCCCTGGACTTTATGAAAATCCCTCCCAGATGGACATGGATGACACAATGACCCGTGGTTTTAAGCTCCAGTCCTGTTCTGCTGTCTCCAGCAGCACAGGTTAGGATCTCTTAATGACAAAAGCAGAAGGGTTAAAAGGAGATGTACAGAACTATCTTATGGCAGCCTGCCAGAGGGGTATCATCTTTAGCATAAATGATGACAAGGGTTATTTTAACAGGGCACCCAGGAACTCCAATTAGTCCTACAATGTTAATGCCTCTATAACCACTGCCCTCTAGACTTACGGAAACCTCCTAACCTGCTAAGGTGCACCTGACATGCTGCAGTCTAAAAGGAAGCTTTACTCTTGACAGCATAGTAAGACATCTGCTGATTTGTGCTCTAACATGTAGTAAGAAATCATGATAAAAAAGATATTTCTTAAGCACGTATATTTAAACTACATCTGCTCACCAGAGAGCCAATCTCTGGCAAACAAACCCCTTTAGGCTTGCAAGGAAAAGCCCAGAAACTCACTCCAGTTTGCCCAATAGGCTCAGCATGAAAGACTGAAAGACAAGAGCAAAAGCTTGCCAATATTTATGCAGTGCAGAAAGAAGGATTTTTTTTTTTTTTTGGTTTGGGGGTTTTTTTTGCTTTTTTTTTATTTTTTTATTTTTTTTTTTGTAATCTGAGTGAGACTGGCCAGAAAGGGAGAGAAGACCAAAGCAAAAGCAGTACACGCAAAGCAGTGTTTACTTCACTGCTTTTAAATAAGCTGTGGACACACACGATTCATCTGCAAAAAGGTGGTGGTTTGATTTTGGGGTTTTTTTCTCCCTTCCAGGCTCTCATAATTGATGTTTCACCTACTACCATCTGACTCAGAATAAGGGCTCAAAATTCTTAAGCAGTTTCACCAGTAATTCCTGAAGATAAAGTGTAAGCAAAGCTTCATTCTAGCAAACAGTGCAGATACATTCAAAACTAGCTAAAGCATATTTATTTTTCCCCTTATCAGCTCCTACAAATTAAGCTACAATCAGACACAACACACAGGTACTTTGCTGCTTATCAGCACCCTTTTTGCCAAGTATATGGTTTCCTCAGTTGCAGTATTTTGGGAAATGTCGTACTTTAAACAACACAGGAGAGCCTCCTGGCCAAATTTTGAGGCACAGCATAGACTAACAGAGGTGGATCCCGGTAGTGCGACACAGGTATCATCTGACTACAAATCAAGCTACTAAATCTTTTAGCAAACTGTCACTAGTGTCCTTCTGTTAATGTGAAAAATGTTATACAGGAGAACACAATCTCAGCTGGCTGATCACTCCTGCTAGTACTTGGCAAGACCTCCAAGTGCAGCAACTTCATAACCTTCTAGTGTTAAAGGGGAGAGCATTGGTCAGTGCTCCCTGCTAAAAATACAGCATGATTTAAACCTGAAGGCAGTGTTAGAGCTTTTGCTGAAGGTTTATGAGTCTATGTAAACAGCATGTCTGCCATAAGGAGCAGTGAAGTCTGTAGAATCCTTGTCTAAAACTGTCCTGGCATTAAAGTTTGCTGTGCAAATATCACATAATACCAGAGACAGCTGAAATCTCCTATTTAGGAATTTATGGAACTTATATGTTTGCAGGCGTCAGAAAGTCCTTTTTATACAGCCCCACTGCTTCACTGTACAATGTTAATGCACTCTGCTTGAAAAGCCGTAATAAATTATATTTTTAATGCTCTTACCCTGGCTTTCTTAAGATGCATACATTCTTGGCAAACAATCAATAAATAGGGTAATCATGAGCAGAGGCCAAAGAATTTGCTGAAGTGCTGTTTTTCCATTTTTAATAGATAAAGATCTAACAATACGGACTGCTGTGTCTGTTCATTTCAGGATCAATATATTCTTTGTTTTCGCCAAACCGAGGAAAAAATAAATGATTGTACGATAAATGTTATGCATCAGACACAATGAAATTCCTCTGCCTTCTAACTTTGTGTGTTTAAGAGTCTTGGTTGCATTTTGCACTTGCCTTAGCAAATACAAGAAAAATCTGGACTATAAACATAACTGATTATAATAGGAAAAGTAGAGGCTGTTTTAAGACATATGCCAAATTACATGCAGCATATTTTGATTTAAATTAGCAAGCCTGCAGGAAATGGTCAAAAAGACTTAGAAATTTTGATAAGTAAAATTTGTATATTATTGTCCTTTAAAAGTATTTTCAATGCAAACAAAGACATCCATATACAAACATCAATGATTCTAAATGTGCCTTTTCCTTGTGTAAATGTCTAATTACAGCAAACCAGCCACTGAAAAATATGACACCCAAGTTGTTCATTGTTCAATAATGAATTGTACTTAAGAAAATAAACTGCGAAGATTGACATCATAAATGACTTTTCCAATGTGATACCTAAAGATTTACACTCTCTCCTTTAAACCAACTTGCAACTGCTACTGCTGCCCTTCCAATCTTAGGACCATCATTAGGAGGAAAGGAGAGAGTTTCTTTTGGGGGTTCAGTATTTACTCTTATATATTTTTGCGTTTCTTAGCCTAGCGCTTACTCAAAGAAATAATGCACCAAATTACTTAAATTTTGATGTAAGAATTTGCTTTAATCAGAGCAGCTAGCCTTTACCTTAACAAAAATCAGACTCCACCCTGAAAAGCAAGATGCTCCACCCAAGAATGAACCTTACATTTCCCAAATGTGATTTATATCAGAATTGGGAATATATAGTATTTTAGAATGGAAATTTTAATCCTGAAATATAAATGAAGTAGAGTCTGCAAAAGTATGCTTCCCCCCCAAATATTATAAATCATATTTCTCTAATGCAGAATTATCAAAAGTGTTACCTTTTCTAATATTAGTTTTCATCAGGTGTCCAGAGTGTTTTAAAGGCACTCCTTGCATTTTAGTTCCTGTACTTCCAAGTCTTCCTCTTCCTAATGGGCTCCCATTCTGTTCCAAGCGCGCAATTTTGGCTGGTGGACCCTTCGGATCGCTTACATTGTTAGACATTTCTGAATGTTCTTTCCCCTGAGTTGCCTCGTTCAAATGATCCATACTCAGTCCCGCCTCTAAAGATCACCTGCCATGATTAAAAAAAAAAAAAAATATATATATGTTGCACACGTGTGCGCATATGTATACGTACACAGCCTGCACATGTACAGAGACAGATATATATGTATCATAAGCTCATAAAGAATAGATAACTATTTTAACTAGAAAGAAATGCCTTTTTTAAAAGAAACAAACTTATTCTTCAAAAATTACCTCATAACCCAGTTTACAGAGAGATTGTATCATAATCTAGTGGAATGGTTTCTTAAAAGCCAACCAGAGTACCTCTTAAAAAAAATTTTGAAAAAAAAAATATCTTTGGAGATATTCTACTAAAACTGAGAGAATCTAAAACTCGTATAAGTGATGATGATTGTCAAGGTGTGTGCTCCAAGACAGCTATTGTTACAAATCTCACAGAAAGGTTTGTTATTAATCGCGGATGTTTTTGTTGTGGAGAGAAAGATTCTAATGAAAAATTTCTTGATCTATTTGATTATAAAATGGATGAACAATAATAGCGAGATTGTTAAAACTTTAGTTGAAGGAGCAACAGATTTATTAGAGAAGTAGACTATTGTCCATTTAAAATTCCTCTCCCCCTTAGAAATAGAAGTTAGAAAGAATTTGACATTTAACTTCAGAAAGCAGTGGCGGGAGATGGGTGCTTTTGAGTTTCCTAACCAATATTATACAGAGTTTATCAACTTTTGCAAGGTTCAAAATATTCAGTTTTTCAGATATTAAGCTTCAGGTGTTAAACAGAGTAGTTTATTCAATTAAGATAAATAACCGAATAGTTTCTCACTAGACATAAAACTGAGGAAAAATCCTCCACAATTTCTACAGTACTTTTGATGCCCTTAAATATAAAAAAACCCAAAACCTGGGTGATGCTGACACAGCTATTTGAAACCAAAAAACCAGAATTTCAATAGCAAATTAAGAAAAGGTATATATGAGCATGTTTGTACTTCCCTTTTTATAAACTTTCGAAACCTCTGTCCATGACTAGCAATTACAGTTAAATCACTAAAAATCTACCAAGCCTACAACATAACAGAGTAAGTTTTAAGGATTTTTTTGCCACTCAACAGAACCTGTTCTGCCAACTATATTAAAAAATCTTGCTGAGAGCAAAGGCATCTCTCTGGTTATGATTTCACTAATCAATACTGTTGTGATTGTTAGGTATTTTACCTACCTTTCCCTGACAGGGAAAGGTATAAGTACACAAACAATTATGTCACATATATATAAAAATAATATAATCACTAAGGACAGGTCAACAGACATTAATATTTGAACTAGTATTTACATTAGCAAGTACAAATACTAATACTGGGTAAGTCATATTTAGAAAGACTGGTGTGAATCGGATAATTGCTACTTTCTTTCAGTTGCCTAGTAATTCAATACATTTTCTGCACATTTCATAGCGAAGTTATTAGAGTCTAAATATCTTGGAATCTCTATATATATACACTTCTATGTCACTAGTATATATGCCAATGATAATTTTGCAGACTATTTTTTTCTTGTACGAACATCACGCTGCTTTTCCCGATACGGTGAAGAAAGAGGCAATGTATTAATTCAAACCTTTACAAGCAACCTCAAGAATGCAACCAAATAGAGGAAGCTTAGACAATCGTTATTTTTCCTAATGCTGTTAGGTGACAGGCTAAGGTTCACCATCCATCTTTATCCCATCTGTTTTAGGTCATGCGTCTCATTAACAGTAAACATGCCTATTTTAGCCACTTTTCCAAAAGAATTTTTTAAACTGTGCTAAGTGTAACCTAAGCAAAGAATTACAGATTCAAACTGTGAACATCTTCCGATGTTTCTAACAATGCTAACATACCATAGAGCTGGTATTCTGAGACTGGTCTATCTCAAGAAAAAGAGGATTAACAAAAAAAAAGAAAGAAAGAGGGGTGTGGGGGGGAGAAAGAGTAAAAGAAAACACACACAAAAAAGCTTCAAACAAGAAATTCCTCATCACTTCTGGCAACTTCGGAAGTACTCTAAGCACGAAGGTTCTTTGCTATGAAAAGTATCTAGTCATCATGAGTCAGAATCGCACTACATCATGTACAGTGAATAAAAGTGATAGATCGCCACTTAGTTAATACACTGACTGCAACCAAAACACCAAATGGGTCATTTTCGATTGGCCTGAGAATACCCACCCATCGGCATCCTTTCACCGCTTAGTCATCTTGTAAAAAGCTTTATGTTACAAAGCAAAATTACATGCACATAAAACACCTAATTTACTCATTTAAACTCCATGCCCAAGGCTAAAGTTCACTGAAACCTCAGTTTGGAATAGTGATGAGCAACAACGAGCATGGCCTGCCCAGGGAGAGGGTGGCAGGAAAGACCTATCATCTCTGCCGGTTCCAGGCCAGGAGTTTCCCCGGGTTTCACATTTAGGCATCTTTCAAAACTACAAGTTTTCATCACAGAACAGTGAGAGAAGAGCACAATTTCAAGGCACAGTTTCCCGGAGCCAGCGTACACGTACAGGCACACCGCGCAATTTCTGAATGAGAGTCGGTGCCGTATCTCCTTTTGTCGCGATGTAATGCTGCCGGTATTATATTATTTCTTTCTCTCCTCCTGAATCAGCCCCCTCCCCATGCCTTTCCCCTCCTCTTCCCTCCCTCCCCCATAAAAACCCATAATCACATTTGAGAGAGGCTCCGCACTTATCCGTTCCATATGGCTCTCACAATCCAGGCCAAGCTTTCCCTGTGACCTTTTAAAGAGACAAAGAAGCAAAGTACTTATCTAGAAACAGAAACACTGCAGTTTTCTGAGTGAAATTAGCAAAACCGACCCGAAACTCACCACTTCAAAACTTGACAGCATATAAATAACAAAAACAAAGGAGGTTTCCTTTGCAGCCCGAGCTCTTGAAGAGGAAGAAGTTCAAGACTGATGTTTTTAGGTCCCCCCCTTTCTGAAGGGGGGCGGGGGGGGGGGGGCGGG